TTTCTTTGTTAATCACTTTTTTTTTACCTGTAATTGCATATTTTTTAAGGCATTAATTTGAAATGTCGTTCTCGCTCTTCTATTTTCATTATAAATATTAATCATACAAAATTATAGTTATGCAACTTGAAAACTATTATCCACCATATTATGCCATATAATCAAATTATAAAAACTAATATTACAAGAAAAAAATATTAAAATTTAAATAGGTTACATAGTAACCGCTACAGAAATATTTATTTCTATTACCTATATACTTAAATTAAAAAATATTTTTTTTTTCATACTACTACTTTGAAGATTTAAAAAATGCATTAGGTTATTTATAATAATAATAATAAAATGCAAAGGAAATTAGAACAGCGATCTTCCCATTAATTTTCATTCTGTTAGGCTATTTGAAGCAGTTCAGAATTTTTATATATGATTATTTTTGTTTTTTTGTATTTCTTTTTGTTTTTTTCTTTTTTTTAAATTTTTTTTTTATAAATACTATTTTATATATTTGAAGAAAGATTTAAGCGACTTGATACCAAATACAGAGCAATTCATAAAATATTCAATTTTATGGATATTTCGAAACTAATTTATGCGCAATATACTATTATCATAAAAACAGAAAAAAATGACTGAAATGTTAAAAAACAAAATGTTTTTAAAAATAACTCTCAAGTATGTTATACAATCACATAGCAAAAATGCATCAACAAAAAAGTACTTTATACGAATACACGATGAAATATTTGTTATTAGATGAATTCAACTGACTTATGTTTTAGTAATATCCATTGGTGATCCACCAGTTGTATTTGTAGCTGTATTAGCCGCAATTGGTGGACCACTTGGACTTACAATAGTTGGTGGAATTGCAGGTTTAATGAATCTATCTGACGTGCGTCTATTGGATGAGGTTACCACATGACCCTGTTTAAAATTATTAAATATTTCAGATTAATACAATTTTAATATCTTATATATAATATATTATGTAATACATTAATTACTTATATATTAATTATTGTAACTATTTAAAATAAATATAACTTACAGTGGAAGGAGGCGATGAACTTGCAAATGGAATTGTAGTAGGTTGTCCACAAGCATAACATCGATTTGTATTAAATCCTTCTCTGGTTGATGAACCTATAAATATAATATATATTAATAAATATATATTTATATACAAACATATACAAATAATAAATATCGCATAATGATATATAAATATTAATAACAATAATATATATAAAAATGATAAATTTATTTCATTTTTATTATGTTTATTATGATTACCTGGACTTAGTGGTCTAGAGGAACTAGGTGAAGGATTATACGGTACTGGGCTAGAAACAGTACGGTTTCTTATATTTCCACCAGACATCACAATTTCATTGTAGTGCCGTTCTTCTTCCATTTCCAAACTAACAAATAAATAAAGTTTAAATATCAAATTAAGGTATTCGTATAATTTATATAATATTATTTACCTAGATTCTGATTCAGAAAGATGTCTACATAAAGCTTCACGACGCTCTACTTCCAATTGCAATTTTCTCTGAAGTCTTAAATTTTCTTCACGAATTTGTTTTTCTTCATTTACATATCGTTGCATTTTTTCTGTATCTAAAATATAAATATGTATTTAAAATATTTAAAATATTTATGTAAATATTTTTTTTAATTATAATTATTTTTTTATTATAATTTTCTCATTTTTTAATATTTTCAATATTTTATTTATTTAATAATATTTTAAATGCTATGCAAAAGATTTGTAACATTTTAATTGATAATTAAATATTCTATATTATATTAAATGTTAAAAAATTAATAATAAAATATGAAAATATTTAAATAAAATATTTTTTTATTTTTTTTTGTAATTAAAATAATTTAGCAAACTGTAATATAATAGCATATTTAAATTGAATGTTGCAAATACATTGTTGTATTTTTATAAATTTCAAAACATACTTATTATTTATTACAAATAAATTCATATTATTGCATAATAAAAATTCTTACGTTCTTGTTGTGAAATAAACAACGTATGTCTTAATCTGGCTACTTCACTTCTTAAAGTTTGAATATGTGCACTTAGACTGGTAGCAGTATCACCATTATTGATTTCTCTTGGCGAAGCAGGATCTGACACAGGTTGATCTAATTTTATTTGAAGCATTCGTTTTTCAGCTTCCAATTTATCCATTCTTTTCCATAATTTATTTACTAATGCTTCCTGTTCTTGTTCAAGTGTATTTTCAAGTTCTACTTTCTCTCTACGTAACTGTTCTAAATTGCTTTGTTTTGCAAGTGTTTCAGCTTCAAGTTTTTCTATCTTTCTCATTAACTTATTCACAAGACATTCTTGTTCTTGTTCTAAAGTTTGTTCCAATCTACATTTTTCTTGACGCAATTGATTTAACTTTCTTGATAAATCATTTGTTAAACACTCTTCCTCTTGTTCATAATGATGTGCTAAAGTTTCTTTTTCTTTTTTAAGAGCTTGAATTTTTTTTAATAATGTATTACTTATAAATTCCTCTTCTTGTTCAGCTTTAGCTTGCTATAATATAATTCAACAAGAAAATTAACAAAATAATAAAATATTTAATTTATCACAATTCATTAAAATAGAAATATGTGAAAATTAAAAATTATTATGAATTTCATTTTGAAATTAAATAATTTAAAATTTTGATATAAAAAATATATTTGTAACTATATATTTATAATTATAATTATTAATTTTATCAATATGCAATTAATAGCTACTTATATTAAATAATTTCCAAATTTATAGTATTTTATATAAATAATATAGAATCAAATTTTATTATTATTAAAAATTCATTATTCAAGATTATCTTCATTTATAAATGATATATATATTTTATGTATAATGATACATATATTTTATTTTTATTAAATAAAAAAATAAAAATAAATCTAAAATTATTTTAAAAATATCTTATGTAAATATTAATATATTGAATATAGTTAAATTATGAAAAATTAAATAAAAAAAGAAAATTAAAATATAATCATATAAAAATATATATATTTCAAATAATATATAATATTGGAAAATAGTTATAATAAAGACATAATTTTGTATAAAAAATATTTTATAGTGAATAAATTCTTTTAATTTAACCTAAAATTAAATATTTTAAATATTGAATAATGAGATATGTCATTATAAAATATTTTACAATCAAATAATATTTATAATTAATAAATAAATATATTATTTAGTTGATAAGATATACTACAAGAAACTTACTATAATGACAGAGGCTTGCCGAAGACCACGATTTTCTTCTTGTAATGCTTTTACTCTTAATTTATATGTTTCTAATTCAACTTTAAGAACACGATTATGCTGTTGTAGTGACTCAATTCTTTTTTGAAGTTGTTCTCTAGTTACAGGAGACGGTGGCATCATTATTGGCCCTCCGTCGATCGAGCTTGAATCGCTTTCAGATGCGCTATCACGGTCAGCCATTTTTCTTAGACGAAAATTTTTTAAAAACAACTTATAATTCTTTCTTTTTCATCGCACATTCAAATAAAGATGAACAATATCTTTTTTCTAATATGTAAGTATCAATTTTTTTTGTTAAAACTTCATTACTTTACATTAAAAATACTGTAATATTATAACATCCTACCACGACATGTGTTCTACCATAAAACAAATCAGCTGTTTGATTCTCCATGAATTACTTGCAAAGAAGATGTCAAATATATTTCGAAAATGTAATTCCCTAGATTTTTAAGAACTTATTTTAAAATTGCAAATTTAAGGAATAATTAAGGGTTATTATATTTTATATTGGTATTGAAATTCTTTGTTTAACAGAGAACACAAAAAATTAAAACAATTAATTTGGAATATAGATAATTTTTATTTTTGCAAAGACAATTTGTTGAAACCATTTATTATTTAAAATATAGAAGAATATTAATTCGAAAAAGATTTTTTTTCTTAATGTGTTTGTTCCAATTTTTATTTAAAATCTTGGATCTTCTTAAATTTATGGTTCAATCATAAATCAATCATAAATAAATAAATTGTATTGCGTATTAATTGAAAATTTTCAAAACTTTATTTTCTTCAGATCATAAAGAAATAATTTATTATATTAAACAATAGCATTCACATATATAAAAAAAAAAATTATACTGCATCCGAATTAAAAGAAAGTAAAATTAAAAAAAAGAAATAAAGATTTAAATTAAAAATTAAATTAAAAAAACATAATTCTTAAAAAAAATTATGATTGTTTTATTATTGTAATATAATCTAATCAAAATCAAATATTTTGTAGAAATAACATTTTTTAAATATTTAAATTTTAATTTTTTTTTATTATATGTCATCTGTATTAAATATTCAAATAATAAGATAGGTATATATATTAATATGATAGGTATTTCTTATTTTTTACATGTAATAATGATTTCAAATTTCAGTTCTTATTTATAATGTTATTACATGATAGTTAAATATAAAATTAAATATAAGTTAAATATAATTAAATATAAAATTAAGTTCACATGATAACAATTTATTAAATTTTTAATTATATAAAAAAGTTTATAATAATCTTTCAAAGTAAGAAAAATAAATTAAAAAAATATTAAAATTTATCACATTGAACAATAAATTTAATTGCAAATAATGTACAATATCCTAAAACAAATATTATCTTATGATTTGAAATTCTAATCTTCTAATGAGAATCATCTAGATTGTGAATAAAAATGAAACTATTGTACTTTATAATAGAATATTTAATGGAAATTTTTTTCTATAAGATTTAAGATCTTCATTACACAAATTAAATAAATTATAGGTTAGAAGTGTCATCATCCGAAGTAAACATGGATGCAGATTTTGAAGAATTGTCACATGATACAGATATTATTACAAGAATTAAACAATTTCGCGATATAACGTTAAAAATTGAAGATACAATTAAATATGCTACAGATCCTGCAATATATGAAAAACTTTCTAACACAGATAAAATTGAATATAATCTATTAATGTCTTATTGTTTAAATAGTATGTTTTGGATGTATTTACGTGCAGAAGGTAAAATAAAACAATTAATAATTATATAATAATTTTAAATTTAGTAAAATATTATGTGTTTTTATTAAATATTTTATATAAGATTTTGATTTTATATAGGAATTGATCCAGCAAAACATCGAATAAAATTGGAAAATGATCGTTTAAAGAAATCTATGACACGTGCAAAAGAAATTAATGACAAGAAAACTCTAATGCCTCATATAAACAAAGATGCAGCACAAAGGTTTGTTAGAAATGGATTATGGGAAATAAAAAATAAAAAAAAATAATACGAAAATAATATAAATAATATAAATTATAAATAAATTTGTATTATGATTTAAGTATAATAGTGCATTAAATTTATAAAAAACATGTTTTAAATATATATTTATGTGTATGTTAAATTTATTAGAAAATAAACATTTTTTTTAATGAATTAATTTCTATATTTAAAGTTTTAAAATTATATACATAATGTATTTTTGAAATAAATAACTGATATAATATTTTATATATATAATTTTTTTTTTATATATATTAAAAAAAAAGATATCTTTAAATATAAGAGAGATATATATTTCTTAAAATATATATATCATATTTATTTATTATCATAACTTTGTTTATATTCTTGAATAAATATTTATAATCTTAGAGTAAAAATAATCTTATATTCAAGTAATACATGAACAATATGAAAAGAGTTAATCAATCTATATCAATAAATCAATAAGTAATATTTAACATATATAAAATCCATTGGTCCATTATGTAATATAAATAATTACATATTACATAAATTTTATTTATATACTTTTTTAAGATAAATAAATGTTAAAGAATTAAATATATAATCTCATATAAAATATAATGAAGAAAATAATAGATATCTTGTAGGAATGATTTACAATATTATTAAAACATTTAATATAATGATTATTAAATCATGTTTTTAGATATTCAATTATATATTAGAACATCTTTATTTTTAATTTGTTCAGATTTTCAAAATAAATTAAAATATATATTGTTAGGTTATATAAACGATATTTTTGGATCTATTAAAAAACCTATGTATTTTGTAACTAAAGTGCAACGCAACAGATATATTGAATAATAATTTGTATGTATACTATTTTCTTAACTATCCAAATATGTTATACATGTATATAGAATATACAATAAATAAATATATGTCCAATAATAAAAAATATAATATTAAAAAAAAAATTTATAATAATGATATTAATTAGTTTTGTTTAATATTAGTTTTGTAATGTTTAATATTTTTTTATTTTTACATTAAAATATTTTTCTAAATTTTTAAAGTATAATAAATATAATATTAATAATTTAATTATATTTATTCAATATTCTCCTAATTAGAATTAATAATATATAAATATAAAATATATATATTTAGTTTTTTTTATTTATAACATATTTAAAATTATAATTAATTTATATTCTTGAAATGTTAAAGATGATTAAGAAATAGCATGATTACAATTATAAATTGACATCGTTTGTTAAAGTGTTAGCATTTCGAACTAGTTTTATAGTATAGTATGGTTAGAGCATGTTTCGTATTATTCACTATTGCAGTTGTGTATCACTGATCACGGAATAGAACATTTCCTATTTTTTATTTATTCAATTTTAATGTACAAAAACATATATAAATCGCAATAAAATCAAAATTTATTTTCTTGTTTTTTTTGAAAAACAATTATTTTTATATTAAAGATTTAATATATTAAAATTTTATCTTATATTCGCGATCAATTGCCACGTATACAAGTGCATTCATAAATATATATATATTTACGAAATCAAAGATATAATATAGTTATGTCAAACGAAACTCCAAATAAACGTATGATGACGGTATATATTATTTATTTTATTTTATATAATACTTTTATTAATAAACATATATATTCAATACATAATATTTAAAATGTTTATATATATTTATTTTAATTTAATTCTTAAGACAAATAAATTCTTTTTATTATTTTATAGATAAAATTATTTTAGAGTAATTAAGAATATTTAAAATTGATATTTTTATATTTATTTTTTTAATTTTTGTATTATAAATAATAAAATTTTTATTAGACTTGTAGCAATGTATCAGAGCAAGCACATCATGTATCAAGAGCAAAACGTGGACAAGCAATAGGCAGTATAAGAGGTTTTCGAGGATGTACAGTTTGGTTAACAGGCCTTTCTGGTGCAGGAAAAACTTCGATAGCTTTTCAAGTTGAAGCTATTTTAGTTAATCATGGAATTGCTGCTTATGGACTTGATGGAGATAATGTAAGAAGTGGTTTAAACTGCAATCTTGGTTTTAGCAAAGAAGATAGAAAAGAAAATATAAGAAGAGTTGCAGAAGTAGCAAAATTATTTGCCGATAGTGGTCAAATTTGTTTATGTAGTTTTGTATCGCCATTTGAAGAAGATAGACAAATGGCAAGACAAATTCATAAAATGTCGGATCTTCCATTTTTTGAAATTTTTGTTGATACACCTCTTAATGTATGTGAAGCTAGGGATACAAAAGGATTATATAAAAAAGCACGTGAAGGCACAATCAAAGGTTTTACTGGAATAGATCAGATGTATGAAAGACCAACAAATCCTGATTTAGTGGTAATCACTGAAAACTGTACTCCAGAAGAATCAGCTGCAACTGTTATTGATCTTCTGGAGAAACATTGTATTATACCAATACTTCAAAAACCCTCTATACCAATACGGGAGTTGTTCATTCCAGAATCACGAATATCTTCTGCCAAAACAGAAGCCGCTACTCTTCAGAGTTTAGAAATTAGTGAAATAGATGTACAATGGCTCCAAGTTTTAGCAGAAGGTTGGGCAGCACCTCTTACTGGTTTTATGAGAGAACATCAATATCTTCAGGTATATAACATACATATATAATATATATTAATATAAAATATAAAGTAATAATATAAAAATAATATTAAAAATTCAATTATTATTATTACAAGCATAAACTATTTTTAAAATATTTTTAGACTCAACATTTAAAATGTCTTCTTGAAGATGATAAAGAAATTAACCAATCAGTTCCCATAGTCCTTGCAGTACATGCAGAGGATAAGCAACGTTTGAATGGGCTTTCAGCTTTTACATTGAAATATAAATATAAACCTCTTGCAATATTACGTAGGCCTGAATTTTATTTTCACAGAAAAGAAGAAAGATGTGGTTGGCAATTTGGTACTAACAATTTAGGACATCCATATGTAAAAATAATTCATGAATCTGGAGATTGGTTAGTAGGTGGTGATATAGAAGTTATTCAAAGGATTAGATGGCATGATGGTCTAGATAAATATAGACTTACTCCAAATGAAATTAGAACAAAATGTAGAAAAATGAAAGCTGATGCTGTATTTGCATTTCAACTTAGAAATCCTATACATAATGGTCATGCATTATTAATGCAAGTATGTTAATTTAACTTATAATCAATTTATATAATAAATTTTTTTACATAAATATTTTATATTTGTATTTATAGGATACAAAAAAACGCTTATTAGAAGATAGAGGATTTAAAAATCCTGTTTTATTGTTGCATCCTCTGGGTGGTTGGACAAAAGATGATGATGTACCATTACATACAAGAATTCTACAACATGAAGCTGTACTTAATGAAGGAGTATTGGATGCTAGTTCTACATTGTTAGCAATTTTTCCAAGTCCAATGATGTATGCAGGACCAATTGAGGTAAATTTTAATTATATTTTCATTTATTTTATAATTACAATAAAATAAATAAAATATTATAATATTGCATTTGTATATTTTTTTGCTTATAATTATACTTCACAAATATTATTAAAATTAATGATATTTTATTTATAAATTTAATTATTATCGATTTTAAGATTTGATAATATTATTATGTTTATATTATATATTTATTTATATTGTATGAAATAAAATTCATAGAGTTAGATTTAAAATCTGGCAATTTGAACTGATTATCATATATCACATATCATATATCACAAACTGCTTTTTTTAATTTAATTATTGAAAGTTTAATTCTTTAAGAAGACTATTATTTTTTTCATATTGATCATGTATATATATATATATATATATATATA